TCATTGTTGTTTGGCGGGTCCAGGCCGGGGATTCGAACCCGCCATCCTAGGTGTACGTGGCTGGCGCCTTAGCCGGTTGAGCTATAGGCGCCGAGCCTTTACCTTTAATTTTAAACTTACACTCTCCTTTCCCCAATAAGATGTCAGGAGCAATTCATGGGATTCTGTACTGCAAAGGCATTACAAATGTATACGTTGATCTTAATCTGAGCTTATAACAGACCTGGGACAAGGCAAAAGTGCTTAGGACAAGCACAAGACTTGAATGAGGCTAGCACTGCCTTTACCTGTGTGATCTTAAATGGTACAGCCTGATCTGTCTCATTCAGCAAACATTGACTGAATGTCTTCTGGATGTGATGAGTGTTGTATGAATTAAAAATGAGTATACTCTTTTTCAGTTAGTGAAAATTCTTACAGGTGCACACTTGAAACGTCTGCATTTTCCTATAATGGTTTGTACTTGAGCTAAATGTAATGAAATTTATAAAATGAATATACCACCCACATTGGCAAGGATGTTATTCTCTAATAGATCAGCCCTACATAAACATAACTACAGCATCTCAAAAAGCTATAAATAGGAGGCAAGTTAGTTCAGATATTTGTGCCCCTGGTTTTAGAAAGAAGGCACAGAAATGATAGGGCTCAAAGTAAAACCTGTGGGCCCAGCTGGGCGTTGGAATCCCAATCCTCGCACTCTGGGAGGCCAAGATGGTGGATTGCCTGAGCTCAGGAATTCAAGACCAGCCTGAGCCAGACTGAGAACACATCTTTAAAAATAGCCAGGTGTTGGCTCGGCACCTGTGGCTCAGTGGCTAGGGCGCCAGTCACATACACTGGCGCTGGCAGGTTCGAACCCAGCCCGGTCCTGCCAAACGACAACTACAACCAAAAAGTAGCCTGGCATTGTGGCGAGTGCTGGTAGTCCCAGCTCCTTAGGAGGTTGAGGCAAGAGAATTGCTTAAGCCCAAGAGTTTGAGGTTGCTGCAAGCTGTGACGCCACAGCACTCTGCTGTGAGGGCAACAAAATGAGACTTTTGTCTCAAAAAAAAAAAAAAATAGCCAGGTGTTGTGGTGGGTGCCTGTAGTCCCAGCCACTTGGGAGGCTGAGGAATGAGAAGTACTTAAGCCTAAGAGTTTAAGGTTGTTGTGAGCTGTGACACTACAGCACTTTACTGAAGGCGACAAAGTGAGAATCTGTCTCACACACAAAAAAAAATCTGTGGGCTGTGGTCTGGTCCTTTATCTTCTTACTGTGTGATATAGCTCAAGAAATAATTGGGAGATTCATGCCAGGTGCAAACTGAAGTAAGTATGAATCACTCAGCTGTTGTCTTCACAATAGCAGGGACTACCATTGCTTGTTAACCCAAGAGCCTCAGGTGGCTTGATAGTACTTGGTGTCTAGCAGACTCTAAAACTTGTTTAGTAGTTGAAAGGCAGATCCAGAATCCCATCATTTGTTTCCTAGGTAGGAGTCAGTCTTGTCCAGAAACAAGAAAATAACAACTATCTAGTTTCCTTCTAGCCCAGAGATTTCCTGTTACCACCTCTTCATTCAAAGCTGTACAAATTATTGCCACTATTAGCTATCCTGTATTAAGTGCCTATTATGTGCCAGGCAGTATTTCAAAATTAAATCTCAACTTTTATTATAACTTGGTGGGGAGAGAGGTATCACACCTTTACAAATAAACTGAGGTCCAGGCTGAAGGCACAAAGAAGATAGTAAAGGTGAGATTCACTCAGGTCTGTGACTTCCATGCCCATATGTTCTACGACTTTAACCATATGTGGAAGGAAAATTGTGCAACTAAAACTATGATCCATCTTTAGATAAAAGATCTCTCACATATACCATACATATCCCCCACATAGTATAATGATATTTTTCTTTTTTGAGATAGAGTCTTTGTTGCCCTTGGTAGAGTGGTATGGCATCATAGCTCAGAGCAACATCAAACTCTTAAGCTCAAATGATTCTCTTGCCTCAGCCTCCCTGGTAGCTGGCACTACAGGCGCCCACCACAATGCCCAGCTAATTTTTTCTTTTAGTAGAGACAGGGTCTTGCTCTTGCTCAAGCTGGTCTCCATCTCTCAAGCAATTCACCTACTTCCCTCTCCCAGAGTGTTAGGATTATAGGAATGAGCCACCAAGCCCCAGCAGTATGATTATTTTGTGACCCAACCTTAGGTAAAAGAGTACCGCTGCCAACAAAGTACCACTGCATTTTATTTTCATTTTATTGAGATTTTTCAACAGCTGCCATTTAGTTTGTATAGCAAATTTTTACAAAGTAACTTTTTTCCATTTTTCTATGAAAATTATTTTCATTTAAAGCCTCATCCTCCCCCCAAAAGAAAGATTAATAACTGCCTGTGTAATAATTACTTAGGAAAAAACCAAAAGCAAAAACATCTTTAAACACTTGTGAAACAGGGATAAGGGTCTGAAGTCTAGACTTCCTGGGCCTGTTGGAGGTGCTGGGCTGCCCCAGGGTGACATCAGTGCTTCATCTACTCCTACAGCTGGGCAGCCATGCAGAGACCCTCAGGACTTCTTGTTCCTGAAGCTCCACTCCCTTTCTCTTCACCTTTGTTCTGCACCTCCCACCCCACTCTCCAAATGTGTCCACCAAACACAGCATAGTCTTTAACGTGTTTAGCTTTGTAAATGGAGACATAATACTCTATTTTAGAAGTTCAGCGATTTTCCCCCATCCAGTCTGAGGGAGGAAAAAGTATCTAATACAGCATTGATGGTTTCTCTTTCTTGTCCACTTATACATACCCTCATACTGATTAAATGGGTTGATCAGATCTTTTCGAAGTCCTGACGTGTAGTAGCCAGCACAAAAGTTCCTTATAAAAAGTTTGCAAAATTATTGAAAAATTTCGTAGCAGTTCAGGCTCATTATGTGGAGCTTGGAATGACAAAACTCATTCTGATAAGTAGTTCTTTTGACACCTACAACGTATTTTCCCCTAATGAGTCCTATGTTCTATGTTTAGAGAGTTCCACTTAGACCATAGGAAGTTAAAATAAAAGTTTACAAGGGTCTCTGCTGACAAAATGGTATATCTATCAGTGAAATACTACTCAGCAAGAAAAGGAACTACCAAAACTTGTTAACCTGTCAAGGATGAACCTCAAAAATATTATGCTAAGTGAAAAGAGCCAGACACAAGCAACCACATATGTGTGATTCCACTGACATGAAATGTCTAGGAAAGGCAAATTTATAGAGAGAAAAGAGAATAGTTGTTGCCTGGAGCTGGGAGTGGGAATAGGGACTGACTATAGATGAGCATGCAGGATCTTACTGGAGGAAAATATCCTAAAACTGAGTAATGGTCACAACTGCATCACTGAGGAAAGTTATTCAAAATCACTGAATTGTACACCTGAAATGGGTGCATTTTATGATATGTTAAAATATGCCTCATCAAAGTTTTTTTTTTTTTGTTCCTGCCTCAAAAACTACCCTTCAAACATTAAACATGTTTGAAGGTTCACACTCAATAGGACAGCATTATTAGTGTCAATTTACAGAGTGAAATAATTTACTATTTTATAGCAAACATTTTAGTAACTGTAAATTAGTAAAATGTTTCAATGTTTTATTATTATCTCTTTTTTTATGGCCTAGAATATTTACTACTTTTAGGTGAAAGGTAGCTAGTAAGAAGGTAGGATTAGAGAAGAAAATGCAGCAGATGTCACAAATGAAACTCAACAAAATCTGAAGGGGCTTTTCCTTTAAAATAAAGATGGTGCATCTGTTCCTTTATATCAGATGTCCTCAAACTACAGCCTGTGGGCCACATGCAGCCCACCCAGGACATTTATCCAGCTGACCGGGTGTTTTTACTGCCACTGTCTGTCCTGCTTAGTAGTCGACTTGTCCCAGGGCCGTAGTCCAGCCCTCCAACAGTCTGAGGGACAGTGAACTGGCCCCCTGTTTAAAAAGTTTGAGGACCCCTGCTTTTTACAGTTCTCTCTCCTGTGCCCTGGAAATGTGAATCTCTTGGCAGACACCCTGTAGAGATCAGGGTATCCAGCTGTCCTATTCCCATGACCCCTCCCTCCCACAAAACCAGACTGACTAGGGACTGGGAACAGCAGCAGGGGTTGGGCAGAAGGCCCAGTACTATGCAGAAAACTTGTGTGTTTTCCTTAGGTCAGCTTCCTGCACCCTTGTCCCTGTCACCAGTAGCAGCTTCAATACAGAAGATTAAAACAAGGTAAAAACCAAAAACAACTCTTCTAAGTTGTGACTAACCAAGTCTAGAGATGAAATTCACAAGATGGCTAAACAGCAGCAGCAGGAGGTACTAGTGAGAGACCAGCAGAACGTATGATCCCTGTGGGGAATGAGGAGTGAAATGATCCACACGGGGGATTGTGGGCTGAGGCAGGAGGAGCTCAAGATCCCCTACATACCAAACTAGGATCAATCCTGTTCTCTCCACCCTCTTCTCAGACTGATGTTTACATTACCCCAGAGAAGAGTGGCTGGGGTTAGAGTCTTTCTCAGTAGGTAGACATCTTCAAATCTTGGACAGATTTGTCAGGTCTCTACTGGATCTCATACCTCAATATGAACTAAATGAAGAAAGATTATTAGCCTGTAATGGTGGGACCTTTACTGAAGAAGGCCTATGCCTCCAATGACAGCAAGGTAGACAGCATGGGGTTTGCAGCAGCCCTAATGCAAGAAGATTCATTCAGGCTGTTTCCTTTGGCTATCTCTTCATACAACTTTCCTCTCCAACGTGTGTTAACCTCCAGAGTAGTCACCTGACCTCTTTACTTACCAGTCTCTCTACAATCAGGAAAAACTTTGCCATTGTAACAGTAAACAGTTTGGAAAATGCTGTTTACTATTTCAATAAAAACATTTGTTTTAAAGACATGGTTAGCATTATAACCTTAATTAAAGAGATCCCAGCTGCTAGGACTTTGGAAACTAAGGGTGCTACAAAGGTCCAGCCTTTTCTTTATGATCTTTTCCTCATAATTTGTTTGACCATTTGTAATTTCCAAAAGTCAACTACTGTAGTCAGATACTGATCCAAGGACCCAGAGATGGCTGTACCTAGCCCTAGACTATATCCTTGAATTTTCTGCTGCAGTTCAACAGCCTGGAGAAACTAAAAAGGCATTCCTTTATATTTGTATTCCCTTGAAGAGACAGTGATAAAATTATTTTCATCCTGGCATTTTAGAGTCAAATAAATAATCACAATAATCAGAAATCACTCAGTAATAAACTAACACTCGGACCAGCCAGATTAGCAACTGTTAAAAGTACGTGTTTCACTTCTATACACATTCTCAAACTTCCAGTTGCCAATTAAAAAGTTAAAACAGCGGAGGGGCTTAAATTCAACATCAAACTGATCACTTATAAATACAAACCTCACCATTACAAGGTAAAGTCCAACCTGGCTTGTACCCAGAATCTTTCCTTAAGGAAAAGTCTGAAACGGAGGCTTGCAGCCTTTCCCCAGCAAAGGTCCAACAAGACCCGTGTCCATTTGCTTTAAAGAAGGTGGCAAACTCTTAACTATAACTGAGCCTATGATGTGGGTGACAGCTGTGCTTCCACCTCACAACATAAAATAGATGGCAAAAGAGGGGCCATAGAGGAATTGAATGCACAAGTTCTACATAGTATAATAAAGAGTCACTATGCTGGCTGCTTCCTGAACCTGGAGTCGGCACACTCTGTCTAAACAGGACTGGAATCTCCAGCTTTACCTTCCAAGCTCCACTGGCAGGAACTTTTCTTAGTCCTGGCCAAACATGCTGTGTGGAACCATGCTGAAAACTGATATCCAAAATGGACCATCAGAGCAGAAGGAAAGTTAAGTCCCTTTCTTTCTGCAATCCTAACACATTTTCAAAAGCCTTCAGAATTCTGAGCTTAGGCTAATGGAGACTGAAGGAGGACAAGCAGCCTCAGAAGAGAGATTTCCTTTACTCAAAGAATTTCCAGTGCCACTGTCTTTATTAGAGGTAACAGCCCCAGGTGAAAGCTGAAACTGGAATAAAGAAGTTTCTTTATTCATAGTCCTCCCTGAAAAAGAGTTAATGGTTTCATTCTCTGAAGGTGGAAGCTTTGGGAATTAACATACTAGGCAATACAAGTCCCCTAAGCTACTCTCCTATGACATGTGACATAACAAAGGAGGCCATTTCTCAAATGATATTATCCTACAGACTTAAAAGAGGCAAAAGATGTGAGTTGGTATTTTAAGTCTGACAGTGACATGAGCCTGTAGCTGTTCAAAAGTCAACAAGGGAGATCATAAATAAAAGAATGTCTTCAGTTTTCCTGACCCTAGTCTTTTCCTTCCAACCTCTGTCCCGAATCCACATACTGAATTTACACTGACTTTATCTCAAGCTACCTTATCTCACCTTATAGGCCGATTACACAGCATAGTAGCAGCCAGACAGAAGCCACTGTAGTTCTCTGGCCAGGACTGGATGCACTCTTTTTTTACACGCCATAGTGCCACCTATACACACCAAGGTAACTCCTGGGTCCAGTTTAGTTTCTTGGGAGTATCAACAAAAGACCCCAGAGAGTTAGAGGCAAGAAAGACAAAAGGCACATACCCAGAAAGGTCATCCTAAGAAACTCACAAAACTGGGTATGCGGGAATAGTAATTAGCTGAAAATATCCTGGAGGGTCATGTATGCCGTCACATGGGTCAAACAGGACTCACTCTCCTGGGCTGTTTTTGAGTTCCTTTCCACAATTCTGTTAAGATGGCAACAAGCATCTTAATGGAATTTAGCTTCTTGATAGTGTTTTGAAAAATAGATTTCCTTGAAAAACTGTACACTAGTCTGAGAGAATTAAGATACAAGGAGGAGGGGGCTGTCAAATAAATTATCCAAATAAATTTAAGACAAAAACCCAAACAGGATTAAAAAGGATGACTTCTCCAAACTCATGCTGACGGCCAGTACAGAAGGCCTCTCATATGCCTTTGGTAACAATGTCTTTTCTGAAAAACAGAGTAGGGTGGGGTGAAAAGGAGATGGGAACTAACACCACAAGGGACAAAGTGGCAAATCAACCCTAGTGCTAGTACTTATAAGTGGTGAGTCTGATGGTAGCTGTAAACAAAGGCTTAAGAATGGGACAACATAACTAGATGACTCAAGTGACAATCACAATCACAGCCTCCCATCTGATTATACCCTTTATCAACTATCAAAAGAGTTACCACAGACCAAATACTTTAAAGTCTTTGTGTTTTCTCAAATGGGGTTCAGGGGAGGGAAACCTGGGCTGGCAGGCCACTGGCAATCCCAGGAGTCAGGGGAGTGGAGCCTCATGTTGTGGTTATACTTCCTGCTGCTTCTGCTCATCCCTCTTCCCATCACGCCACAAGTAGCTCTCCAGGTGTTTGCTGCCCTGGTTAAGTGCACGGCAGGGTGGGAAGGGCATTTCTTAAACACCCAGTTTTCCTAGGTCAGCTTACTTTGTTTAAATACACAGCAGAACATTGCTAAAGAAGGGGAAAATGCAATTTCCTTAACCAGAGCTAATTAAAAACAAAACAAAATAGGAAACTGCTCCAAACAAAATTCAGTAGAGTGAAAGAGAAATACTCAGAGGCTTGTAGAGTAAGACTGAGCACATGAGTTACTCAGAGTCACAGTATCATTAAACCACCATTTCCCTTCCCTGCTATGCACCCCTCACCCACCCCTCCCCCCTCTTCAGGTCCAACTTATTGTGCATCACTATCCCCAGATGTGGGGACAAAAAAGTCCTCCTCAAAGCTTTCTTAGCTCAGTACTTCACTCCTGGAATAAACTCCTTGGCATCTGGGTTCAGGTTACTTTTGCTCTGAAAGAAGAATGAAAAGATAATAAATCCTAAGGCAAGCTGCACTTTAAAACTTATTTTCTTCCCATTTCCATTATTGTCTGTACAGATTCCTTAACTGTAGAAAGAAAGAAATTCCTTGTAACGCAGCTGTCATTCATGGGCTGCTCTCAACAGCTCTTGGCATAGCCTTGAGCAAGTCATCTTCTTTCTGCTTTAAACCCCTGTTCCCTTCCTGATGCTTTCCAAAATCACATCAGAGGACTGTAAGTTTGATTCCAAAATAAATTTTCAATTCATTGAGTACCTTAACTTGGTGAAAATCAGGGTAGTCTATCAAACCAGTTTGGTTACCACAAACTCTTTTTTATTTTTTTTAGACAGAGTCTCACTTGTCCAGACTAGAGTGCCAAAGTGTCAGCCTAGCTCACAGCAACCTCAAACTCCCAAGTTCAAGGAATCTTCCTGCCTCAGCCTCTGGAGTTAGCTGGGACTACAGGCATCTGCTACAGTGCTTGGGTTATTTTTTTCTATTTTTAGTAGAAACAGGGTCTCACTCTTGCTGAAGCTAGTCTCAAACTCTCCAGCTCAAGTGATCCTTCTGTCTCAGCCTCCCAGAGTGCTAAGATTACAGGTGTGAGCTCTCAGACCCAACCTCTATTATTTTTTCATCTTCCTGTACTCTCTTTGATTCTCCTCTCTCTTGTGAATATCCACAACTTTAGCAAATCGCAGGGCACAGTCATTCAGAATGTTAAGTTATGTGAGAACTATGTTGCTCTCAATGTCAGAATTCTGATACTGAATGTAACATAAAAGGAAGGCAATTCATTTATCTTGTTTTCTAATTATAAGTGGAAAACAACCTCTCAGGAGTATGCTCTTTCTAAAATGAACAAGCAATTTTTATAACTATCACTCAAAACTATATTAAATATAGATATAGGGGACAGTAAAAGAGAAGGACACTGGCAAATGATAATTTGAAAAGACATCTCTTCACTGTTCATATTTTTATCCTTAATCTCAATTCTAGTTTGAAAAGCCTACTAGGAATTAAAAGTTTGGACACCGGCAATAGTAATGTTTTCACAGTGCCTTATGAGGAGCAATCGCTCTCAAAGCACCTCCATATCAATGCCCATATGATGAGGGAAGAAAAAGCAGCCCAGAGGGCTCCAGAGACTTGTTGAAGGTTGTAGTATCAGAAAAAGAGTCTGTGACTCCAAATCCTATATTCTTTTCACTATATTACATGTGGAACTACATACGGCTCTTACCAAAATATCTTCAGAATCATGCCCATCACTGACCGACAGTCCGTTTAACTGCTGTTGCAACTGTCCCATCGCCTGAGGCAGGTCTCGTGATGGAATAAACCAGTCTTGGTCTTCTTCATCCAGCATCTCCTGGAAGCAGCGGTCCAAAAAGTCTTGTTCCTGCAGCTCTTCTTCCACCTAGCAAGTAAAGGGGAGAAGCTCAGACTTACTGTCCCAGTGGGACTCATCCCTCCCAGTTTTTTTTTCCACCTCTTTCGGTTAGAGGTTATTACTCAGCAATTAAGAATTCCTTGTATGAGATATAAGAATTCAGGTACTTCTGATGCCTGGCTAGAGAAAATGCAATATTTTTTTTTAATCAAATTCCATCAAAAATAAGACTGAAGAAATAGTTATTTCAAATAGCAGAAATTCCAGGTCTTCACAACAGATCTTCTAAGATCTTTTATATATGACATAGATATTTTTCATTTATATACATGGCACTTGTGGAAAATCATTTTAGAGCTTGAAATTCTTCATCTTATGTTGAAAACCTTCTTCAATTTTTCATTTTGCTAAAGTATGAAAAAGATACTGGAAGGATGTAAACAGTGTACTACCTGGATAGTTGAAATTAAATAAAACCAATTCTCTCAGCTTGTGGCCCACCTTTCAGGTAATGACCCCCAAGAAAGAAAAATACGTTCAGAACCTTTGAAAGACATAAAGAACACTTTTGGGGGGTGGCGCCTGTGGCTTAGTGGGTAGGGCGCTGGCCCCATATACCAAGGGTGGCAGGTTCGAACCCGGCCCTGGCCAAACTGCAACAAAAAATAGCCAGGTGTGGTGGGGACTGGGTGCCTGTAGTCCCAGTTACTCGGGAGGCTGAGGCAAGAGAATTGCCTAAGCCCAGGAGTTGGAGGTTGCTGTGAGCTGTATGATGCCATGGCACTCTACCGAGGGTGATAAAGTGAGACTCTGTCTCTACAAGAAAAAAAAAAAGAACATTTTTTGGTCACTGTTAGAACATTATATAATCAATAGAGCAGTAGTTCTCAACCTTCCTAATGCCACGACCCTTTAATACAGTTCCTCATGTTGTGGTGACCCCCAATCATAAAATTATTTTTGTTGCTACTTCATAACTGTAATTTTGCTACTGTTATGAATTGTAATGTAAATATCTGATATGCAGGAGACCCCCAAAGGGGTCACAACCCACTGGTTGAGAACCGCTGCAATAGAGTATTCTTTTGAAGTAAGATGAAATATATGAATATTTAAACAACTCCACATTTCTTTTTTCTTTTTTTTTTTTGTCCTTTGAGACAGAGTCTCAAGCTGTTGCCCTGGGTAGAGTGTGGTGACATCATAGCTCACAGTAACCTTAAACTCTTGGGCTTAAGTAATTCTCTTGCCTCAGCCTCCCAAGTAGCTGGGACTACAGGTGCCCACCACAACGCCAGGATATTTTTTTTGTTGCAGTTGTCATTGTTTAGTTGGCCCTGGTGGGTTCAAACCTGACAGCCTCAGTGTATGTGGCCAATGCCCTATCCATTCAGCTATGGGTGCTCCTCCAAACTCCACATTTCTTAAACACTGCCCTAAACCAAAGCAATATCTATCTATGATGTTTTATACTTCTTTGCATACATTATTAATTCTTAGTAAAGAGTGTGGTTCACAGCTTGGCACCCAGAGCACAGTGGTTATAGCCGCTGGCCACATACACTGAGGTTGGCGGGTTTGAACCTGGCCTGGGCCAGCTAAACAACAATGACAACTGCAACAAAAAAATACCCAGGCATTGTGGCAGGCGCCTGTAGTCCCAGCTACTTGGGAGGCTGAGACAAGAGAATTGCTTAAGTCCAAGAGTTAGAGGTTGCTGTGAGCTGTGATACCATGGCATTCTACCCAGGGCAACACAGTGAGACTCTGTCTCAAAAAAAAAATAAGTGTGGTTCACTGCAGTTTTTAGTAGCAGTTCTCAACCTGTGGGTCACGACCCACAGGAACTGTATTGAAGGGTTGTGGCATTAGGAAGGTTGAGAACCACTGTTGAAGAGTGACTAACATTTGGCAGTTCCTTTCCTGCAGGCTGCCTGGTGAGAGACTCATAGCTCACCAGCGCCACCAGCACTTGATTTCTTGCAATCAAGAAAAAATAAGCACTGAAATTAACTTATATAATTACCTTGTGAATTCAGAAGAAAAGTCACTAGTAGTAAGACTTAATATTTAAGAGTATTTTGACTAGTGCAGTGGCTTATGCCTACAATCCCAGAACTTTGGGAAGCCAAGGTGGGAGGATCAGAGAACAGCCTGGGCAACACAGTGAGACCTCATCTCTACAAAAAAATTCAAAAAAATAGCCAGGTGCAAAGTGGTGCATCTGTAGTCCTGGGTACTTAATAGGTTGGAAAATGAGGCTTGCTGGAGCCCAGTAGTTTAAGGCTATAGAGAGCTATGATTGTGCCACTGTACTCTAGTGTGGGTGACAGAGTGAGACGCTGTCTCAAAAAAAAAAAAAAAGAACATGGGCAGTGCCTGTGCCTCAAATGAGTAGGGCACCGGCCCCATATGCCAGAGGTGGTAGGTTCAAACCCAGCCCCGGCCAAAAAAAGAAAGAATAGTATCTCAACATTACAAACAGCCACACATTTTTTGATCTCAAGAAAATTAGATAGCTATGAAGTGCTTTAAATAACAACAATGAAATATTTCCTAGCTACAAGGTTTAATATGAGTTAGGTGGTCTGGATAGATGATCAAATCAATCACAACATTCCCTTAAGCCAAAACCTTATAGTACAGAGTAAGGCCCTAACTCTTTTTTAATTCCATGAAGGCTGAAAGAAACAAGAAAGCTGCAGAAGAAAAGTGTGAAACTGGCAGAAGTTGGTTCATGAGATTTATGTCTCCATAACATAAAAGTACACGGTGAAGCAGCAAGTGCTGATAGAGAAGTTATCTAGAAGTTCTAGCTAACAGAATAATGAAGGTGGCTACACTAAATCACAGATTTTCAATGTAGACAAAACAGCCTTCTCTTGGAAGAAGATGCCATGTACAATTTTCATAGCTAGAAAGAAGTCAGTGCTTACTTTCAAAGCTTCAAAGGACAGGCTGACTTTCTTCCTAAGGGCTAATTGCAGCTAATGACTTTAAATTGAAGCCAATGCTCATTTACCATTCTGAAAATCTTAGGGCCCTTCAGAATTGTGCTAAATTTACTCTGCCTGTGCTCTGAATGAACAACAAAACCAAGATGATAGCACATCTGTTTATAGCATGGTTTACTATATATTTTAAGCACACTGTTGATGAGACCTACTGCTCAAAAAAACAAAAAAAGATTCCTTTCAAAATATTATTGCTCATTGCCAATGCATCTAGTTACCCAATAGCTCTGATGAAAATGTACAAAGAGGCTCGGTGCCTATAGCTCAACCGGCTAAGG